CATTAATTGTATCTGCAACTCAAAGTGCATGAAGTACTTGACGGTTTTCATTTTTTTTTCCATCTAGAATATACGACACCACAGTTAGAGAAACGCTACGAAACGTTTTTAGCAAAACGATCGTTTCACAGCGTTCTTATTAGCAGATGTGAAACGCGTTAAACCGGTCAGCATTAACGCGTTTCGAAACTATGGAAAAACGCGTTTTTTTCGCAGAAATTTACGCCATGGGTTGAGAATCATCTTGATTAATCTCTTCTCCAATCATCCGTGTTTCAAATACACAATAGCTTTGATAAGATGTTTGAACTTGGATCTTACTTTCAAGAATGCTACCAATAATAAGACCTTGTTGAGAAGAATCTTTATTCAGTTTATCACAATTTTTCAAAGGAAAAAGTAAAAGTGTGAGCAATGCCGATGTGGGATAAGAAAAACTTCGTAAAGCAAGTTTGAAATTAGTTAAATGCGAAAAAGTTTGTTCTGCTAGGGTGGATGTGGGTGTCGAAGAATACACCCTCTGCTTCGAAAGTTTCATAATTTTTCGTAGAGATGTGTCTGAGAAACTTCAGAAAGACAGAGTGGAGCATCTTTTTAAGATATATTAATTAATCGCGACTGATTTATTTTTTAGTGGTTACAACCACTATCAACAATTTTTTTGTTATTATTATTCTCATTAAATTAACAACAATCGATCAATAACTATACGTTTCATTATCACTTATTCATTCGCAAATATTCCTTTTTGAATCACCATTTGCATATTATTTATTAATCTTCAATTCTTTCGTCATAGTAATCGTTCGTTTATTGGTCTAGTCGAAACGAATAGATTGCTAAGAAAAAATAACTCATAATCATTCATCATCACTTGGTATAGTTGAATATTTCGTATATGAAATGTTAATTAATTTGGCATTGACCTAATGAAGCGTTAAATACATTAATATTATTCATTTTTCTGGAATAATCATCAAACGTTTTGAACAAATCAAAACATGTGTTCGACGTAGAATTCAAGAGATTTCTGTGAGATTCTCATAGTTTCCTTCCCATATTCATTGAACTTTTATTTCATGTAAATTCGTCTCTAATAAATGTGCAAAATGAGTACTTATTAATGCAATATACAAATCTATCCTTTTTGAAAATATCTGTAAAAACTATCATATTAACAAATTTTGTTTAGAATCTTGTTGATCTGGTTATTGATTTCCATTTTCAGCTGAACTAGACCTTTTACAGATGTCTTATAAAAAATATTCTTTACATGTTCCTATAAAAAACGTTGAATCATGTCAGTTCAGCTGACCGTGATGTCCATTGAAATGAATTGCTCCTTCTATTGCACTTGCTTGGAGAAGAGTTCTCCAGAAGTTGACAGACTTCGTGGCTAGAATGCGAAGGAGTTCCATTTTTGTGAAATAGTATTGAGCTCATCTAGCACTATCTTCTTGGTAATTCCAATAGTTACATGAGTCCATGACGTCTGTTAAAGATCTCGTTAAACTGAAAATGAAAACGCATAAGAAAATCGAAGCTATTTCAACCTAAATTTTATATGATGTTTTTACAGATATTTTCAAAAAAAGGACAAGTTTAATATGTTGCATTTATAAATGATCATTCTGTACATCTATTTGATATAAATTTATGTTAAATAAAACTTCAATCAATATGAAATAAAAGTAGAAAAGTCTCATGTAAATCACTTGAATAGTTAAGAAAATATTCATATTTCTTTTTTGACCGGACTTTTGGAACATCTGTAGAATAATCTTTCCAAAGACACAACAGAATATATGATCGACCTATATTATGAAAGTTGTAGTTCAAATACGACTTCAATATATTACTAAAAGTCGCTCATAACAAAGGAAAATAAAGATATTTTTGTTATTGATACCTTTGAAGTTATATGATATTTTTTGTCAAGTTTCTTTCTTCATGTACATAGAATCATTTCTCGACATACATGTTATATGAAATTAATAAATTGACGATAAATACTCCAAATTGTTAATATATGTTTGAAAATTATTTATTGTTATTTAGTTACTTTGACGAAACAGAATCAGTAATTTTTCTTATCAATTAATCAATATCTCTATCGTCGTTTTTCTTCGTCTCAAATAAAAACGTGTCTTCATTTAGTTTTCATTTACAGAGTGTTAAAATATATTGTGATTATTGTAACATAAGTTTTTGAAATCTATAAAGATTATTCATGCTTAATTAGTCTGAATGTTTGGAATATTGAAAAGAATATTTTCATCTAGATAATCGAAATCTGATCTATTGTCATTTTTATGTGGAACATTCTTTCTCTATTCGTATGAGACCTTTTTTTTTTGTTTTTCTCTATTCATACTTTTGAATTATTATTTATTTTATTGGAAAATATTTAAACATAAAGATGAAAATGTTCATTTATTTTTTTTAATATTTTAAATCATCATATGGAATGAATAATATTCACAAAATATTTTTTATAACTGAATATTGTTTTTTAAACAGTTTTTTAGTTTATACGATAATTTAATGAAAACCTACTGTTTTGTTAAATACGATTAACAAGCAGATGAGAGAAAAACATTACTAATTTGACAATATAAAACATTAGTAATAACATATTATGAGTATTCATATATTCTTTGCATGAGAAACATATTACTCATTGAAACAAAGAAACAAAATCCAGTTGAATATTGTGTGAGAGAAAAAAATCCGATGGAAAAAGAACCAGAAAGAAGAAACTTGTAGGCGTGCCTCGTTTTATACGTCTCCATTAGCTCGGTGTATACTTTTTTTGCTACGGTTGAGAAATTTTTCTTCTTTATATCCACATTTTTTGTATAATCATAATAAGAAAAAAATCTTATATAAATACATATGTAATACATTCAGTTTTTATTCATTGAAGAAAACAGCGAAATATTCCTTAGTATTTTACGCATTTAGTAATACATTAAATATGTATATGCAAGGCAGTGGTATGGGACGCAGTGGAATGCAAGGTGGTAATATGGGATACGGCGGTATGCAAGGCGGTAATATGGGATACGGTGGTATGCAAGGTGGTAATATGGGATACGGTGGTATGCAAGGTGGTAATATGGGATACGGTGGTATGCAAGGCGGTAATATGGGGCGCGGCGGTATGCCAGGTGGCAATCCTGCTATCATTCGAGAATTGGAATCTGATTTGTGGATTGAACGAAATATTCCTGGTGGATTAAACAGTAAGCATTGTAAATTGTTATCACTAATATTATTAGGATTTGATTTATTTTTCACTTTCATTATATATCTATATATGAGTGAATTGCAACTTTTTGGTACGATTGAAATTTTAGCTGTATTTCGCTAATAACTTTTTTTATGCTCAACCGATTTAGACCAGTTTTTCATATGTTGTTGTTCTTTGAATGTCCCACTGCCATAGAAAATTTCAGCTCTCTAGCTCATACAGTTGCTGAGTTATCAGCCATTTACTGTAAAAAAATCCTATCTTACAGGAACATGTATTAAGAAAAGGATATTTTCTATGTATTAGAGAAAACAGAAAAAATATAGCGAATAGTCAGTTTTGTACAGCTTGAAATGCTCTATCAAATGGTATATCTTTTATATGTTTTTCCTTTTCTTTTCACACCAATTCACCCCAAATAACTTAATTACACACACATTGTTCTTTTTGTGTAGAACGACCTTACCGTTCAATTTACTTCGTCTTTGTGTAAGTGGGAGAGAAGTGAAGATAGGCGAAAGCAAGACAACTGAAATAGTTACAAAATGATAGACAAAGACTCTTCTAAATAAGTTATTTTTTGGATGAAAAAAGATCCATTATTTTCTAAAAATTCAAGTTTCACTACCTTTGTAGAACGATTTTTTGAAAAAGTGCATTGTAAATAAGTCCTAAATGGCTTAGTTATTTTCGGTCAAATTATTACCGAAGATGTAGTTCTAAAAGTTACATAAGCACTCAAAAATTCAGCGGTCTATCTCATACTGCTCCTGAGAAATTTACAATATACGATAAAATGTAGAACGACCTTTTTTTTTAAAAGTGTAGAACGACTTTTTGAAATACACTATGTAAATAACTTCTGAACGACTCGTTTTTTTTTCGTTCAAACTTTTACTGTAGATATACTTCTCAGAGTTCTATGCCCAGTAAAAAATTCAGCCTCCAATCTCTTATCATGTTTGAGATATTTACATTACATCATGAGCTGTAGAAGGACATTTTTAATTAAAACAATGGCTTTTATAGTACGTTTTCATTAAAAGATATCGAATCTCAGCTAATATGTGGCAAAGTGTTGGGAAACTTTTGCTGTGTAACATAGGCATAGAGCCTAATAAAAGGCACTGCTCAGACATTGTTTAGATCTACTTTCAATTCTTTGCATCAATCGTACCAAAAAGTTGCAATTCGCTCATATATATGTATCGTGACAACCAAAACTATTCAACAAGGATTATTTTCAATTTTTTCCGCTGTCTTAGTCGCAGAATAAGAATTAAAACAGTAATTTGAATAGAGAAATATATAGACGACAAGAATATACGAAAATAATATGATTATCAGATCCCAAAAGGCAGGGTTTTCACAAAACTGAATCACCACTTTTTCAGAACATAGAATACACAAATATAATTTTGTGTAGGTTTCACGAAACGATAAAGCAAACAATTTCCTTTCAAAATGAGATATCTTCAAGATTTCTTCGACCATTTTTTGCTGACATTCAATAATCTTACAAAAGTCTATGAAGATGTGAATTTGAGACTTTCAATCAAATTATAGTATGTCAGCAAAAAAAGAGTCCTATAGAACTTGAAGATGTTTTATTTTGTGAAAAACTGTTTGCTCTATGGCTTTGTTTACTCTGAACAAAATTCAATTTGTGTCTTTTAAGTGCTGGAAAGTGGCCGTTTGATTTTTTGGATATCTCGACTTTGAGAATCTCGTTATCGTTGTATTTTCTTATATTCGTATAAACCCCTCCCCGTATTAGAAGACCCTCCCATATTAGTAGACTTCCCTATAATAGAAGACCCCCCTGGACAAAAAGTTCATCGGGCGTATTAGAAGACCTCCCTTTAATTAATTAATTATNTTTCACCTTTTCCTGTCCATCGCACTTCTGAAATACCAATTATGTCATATCTGAAACGTTTCATTTCATTTCTAAGTAATTCTAGCTTGCCAGCAGCCCACAGTGTCTGCACATTCCATGTTCCTACTGTCAGAGTATTTTTGGCAAGTTTTAGTTTTTGCGTGTTTTTTGTCGTATATGAATTCTTTCCAGTCGCCAATTTTTCGACTCTGTCCTGGTCAGTCGGCAGAGGACGCGGACCTTGTTTACCCGAGCGTCGTCCGAGCCGGTATGGTTTCGTGTTGAAGTCGTTCATGGTTGGTTTCTGTCGTCTTGTTCTTTTTGCAGACGGCGGTATCTGCACCCCTTCCATCAAACGCTCCTCCTTTATCCGGACTTGCGACCGGCACAAAGGCCGCTGGATTGCGGTCTCTATGGTGGAGTTTTCCAAATAATAATGATGATGATAATTTATCACAAGTTGATGAAAAAGATATTGATCAAGAATTTTCTGGTCCAATACGTTATTCAACTGAATGTTCATTAATTTGTGGAATTACAACTATATGTGAAATTTTAGCTATAACACATGATGCAATGATTTTTAATACAAATGAAGATGATGAAAATTTTCATAATCTTGATACAAAAATAACAAAACAAAATAAAACTATTACGATATAAAAAATATCGTGTTATTTTAGATATTTCCTTATATTGATAATCTTTATAGCAAATGGCGTTTTAATAAAACACGAGCTATATTTTCCAGACGATATCTTTTGCATGATAGAGTTTTGGAAATATTTGTTTCAAATAGAAGTATCTATTTAATAGAGAGCTAAGCACTACTTAAGTTTGTTCTTTTTCCTCTAAAATTGAAAAATACATCTGACTAGCTTCAAATGCACGATTCCTACAGTTCTTACAAGGGAATATATATGATTGTCGGATGCCATTCGACTTCACATTATGGCTACGTTTAATGAAATTTTGTATTGAAAGCAAGGTATTTTCGATAAAATTCAAAAAATAGAGTTTCGAGCTGAAATTATGTACATAGATACCTTTTACAATCATTAGATAGTCGTGAAAGTTTCAATGAAAATGAACATGTCTTTTTCGAGATATTCAATATCTAAAAACACAGTAATTTACCATAGAGAAGGACGCAGAAATTGAGCCTACTCAGAAATTGAATGTCTCGAGATAATTATAGTCGAAACTTTTAGAATTGTCTAATGACTACCACATATACATATTCGACATAGTTTCAGCTCGAACCTCTTCGTATCGAAGTTTCGGTAATGATTTACTTCCAGTAAAAATTTCATTAAGGATAGCCATAATATAAAGCCGAACAGCATCCGACAGTTGAATATGTTCCTTTGTTACTTACAATTACGACACGGATAACTTCTTCCCGCCTTCCAAAATGTCTGACTTTCAGTCAACTTTTACAGCATTGTGTGATCGAGTAGACTTTTGTTTTTTTAAAATATAAGTTTTATCCCAAATCGAAAGTTAATTCGTTAATCATCGAATGAAACAATTTAGAAATAAGATTTCACTAATTAATTTTTCTTATTTTTAGCAAGTGTTACGTTCACTTTTGCCGATCGTACTAATGTTAAAAAAGTTGTTGATTTTTTACCTCACATTGGTGTTGGTAGTCGTTATAGATTATCACAACAACGGTAAATTAATTATTTTTTAATTATTAATTGTATATGGCTGTCATTTTTTTTTCATTATTAGACAAACATCATTGGCATCACCAAAACAATTATTTCGTTCAGCAAATATGATACAACAATGTCACCGACGTGAAATTTCTAATTTTGAATATCTTATGTATCTCAATACAATTTCCGGAAATTTTCCAAACAAAAATCTTTTAGCAAAATAAAAAAAGTTGTATATTTGTTTAGGTCGAAGTTATCACGATTTAAATCAATATTCAATATTTTCATGGATTATAGCTGATTATGAAAGTAAAAAACTTGATTTAAATAAACAAGCAACTTATCGAGATTTATCAAAAGTAAATATTTCCTTTTTAATAAATTTTTTCTTCTAATCTATTTTGTTTTAGCCTATTGGAGCATTAAATCCTATACAAAAAAAATTTTTTGTTCAACGTTATAATAATTAAGAATCAGATACAACACCAGTATTTCATTATAATACTATTATTCAACAGTTGACTATACACTTTATTCACTTACTCGACTTGTAAATAAAAAATTCTTTGAAAATAATTCGAATTTCTATTTTGTATTTTCTTCTTCTCAGGAACCATTTACAACATATTATTTAAATTTACATGAAAATAAATTTGATCATACTAATCGAACAATGAGCTTAAACACCAGAAGATTTTATTCGAACTAATCGGCCGGTAAAAAAAATTAAAATTTTATATTTCGATCTTGTTTTTGTGTCTCAGACTCTTGAATCAAAATTTGTTTCTTCTCATTTACATCAATGGATTGATTTAATTTTTGGTTATAACAAAGAGGTTATTTTAATACTAGTTTTTTTGTTTATAATTTGAAAATTTAACTTTTTAGGTTCAGTAGCAGTATGAGCTATAAATGTTTTCTATTATTTAACATATGAAGATGCAATTAATTTTGATACAATCACTAATCCAACAAATCGTGCTGCTATTGAAGCACAGACTAAACATTTTGGTCAAGCTCCATCATAAATTTTAACTCAACCACATCCATCAAGAAATTCAGCAATAGCATCAGTAAGTAAAAAAAAAACAAAAGGTTATTGTGCTTAGATCTTTGAAATTAATTATTAGTCTTTTTTTTTCTTTTAGAATCCAACAATACATCATGTGTAAGTATTATTCATTTAAAAATGTAAAGTACTTACGTTTGCAGGAAAAGTCTTATAACTCTCATATGGAACAAGCTAAGAGTTTCGATCTTCTGTAACTGAAAAGAGAAATAGTTTCAGAATATTTATTTTCGAAAATTTTTATCAAGAATTCATCTAATTGGATGGAGCCGAGTCTTCTCTCTTGAATGAAGCAAACTCCAGATTGCCTATTCATTATTTTGACGATTGTTATTTTAGTGCATCAGAAGATACATAAATGATAATGAAATTTTCATCAAATGCACCAATTATTCATAAATAAATATAATCTAAATACTGAACCATCAGCACCAACTTATTCAGAATCTTCAACAACATTAATTGATTAACAAACACAATTAACATTAAGCATGGATTCACTTTTAGGTAATCATGTCAGTGTATTGTTTTTTTTTTTTTTGAGAATAGTGAAATAATATTTGACAAGATAAAAATAAACATCATTTTCATCTTTCTACTTTTTTATTATTTTATTTTTAGTTTTAAATACTGATTTACATCGTCGTCATCTAAGTGATAATTTTGATGAACGTATTCAACAATGTCATCAAAGTTTTGTTGTAACTATCGATAATCATTTTATAATATCAACTGATTATTGGGATAAAAATTTTTGTGTAAAAAATACTGATATGGCTAGAACTACACAAGTACTTTATGGACATTTTGATATAGTTACATGTGCATATCGTTCAGATATAACTATTGCGGGTAATTGCTTTATTGAAAACAGATTCACGAGATTCTAATGTTTGTATTTGGATATGAAATGGAGCTAAAGGAACTATTGTTGATAAACAATATCCAAATCAAGGTAAAATTAATTATAATCAAAATACAAAAAGAAAATCATTTATTGAAAATTCCAATTTATTTTAGAAATAAATCCATTACCAGCAGCAATATTAATTGCTCATGATACAGAAATAAGATGTTTATGGATATCAGCTGAACTTGCTATTGTTTTAACTGGTAGTGAGCATTGTCTTATACTTCAACATACACTTCAAGGTGATATATAACGTGCATTTGAAAATCCATCAGATATGGCTACATCATGCCTTTTATCGCCATCATTTGATGGTGATATTATTGTTTGTTATGATCGATCAAAATTATGTTCATATACATTAAATCGAAAACTAATGAAACCAGTTATTTTTGAAGAAACTATTCAAGTAAGAATTTTTCTAATATAAAAAAAGAATAATTGATAATTTTATTATAAAGTTTAATATTAAATGCCAATGGACAATACACAGTTATTAGAGGTCATTGAGCGTTTGTACAAATACTTCGTACACATGATTTACAACCGATTTATACTTATCTACAATGTTATGCTGGGTATTTGTTCATTAGCTATTACTCATGATCAAAAGTAAGCATATATATTCAAATACGGCTAATAAAGCTTTTGTAAAGAACAACTTTTTAATGAGGCAACTTACTTACTTATAGTAGATAGGACATGATTAGTGCCCGCATGACTAGAAATTAGCCATAGACAACCACGGATACTAAATTTATGACTTTTCTATGACTAATTAAAATTAGGGGTGGGACTTTATCTTTACTTTACTATAGTAAATAGTAAATAAAATATTTATCATTTACTATAGTAAAGTAAATAAAGTATTTACTATTTACTAAAGTAAAATAACTAAAGTATTTATTCCTTCGACTGTAGGAAGGGCCATATGAAATAGAATGCGGTTGTATATATTTATGTGTCAGGGTCTAAAGAACATCAGGGTAAAAAAAAACATGGTCTGAAAGAATATAAATTGAGATCGAACAATCCGAATCTCAAGTGAGTTTCTCAAAATTTTGAATTGATTTTTTTGGGTCAAGGGAAGATTTCTTGTAGAAAATAACGATATTTTATAAAGGTTGACAAAAGTAAATCGAAGTCGGAGACCCTGAATCTGAAGTCAATTCCTCAAAAACTCAAATAGTTATTCGTATGAAGAAATCATACTTTTTTCTCTGAATTATTGTCTAAGGAAAAAAGCGAATTCTTTTGAGAAAAAGTCATTGGAAAAAAAAGGGAAACTCGAAATATGGAAAATCCTTCTGAGTATTTGAAATCTGTGACTACTGTTAAGTTTTGGTATCCTATTCAAAGTATCATTGTAGGCATGAGTCGGAGTGTCACCTAATGGGACGGGTGTTTCAGTAAGCCGTAATGTGATGAAACAGTGTTTACACACCACTGTCATTGAGTCTGAGGTGCACAACATTCAGTGATTCCTGTTTATTGACAATGGTTTCTGAGAAAAATACATTTTTTTGTACATCCTGCTTAAGTCGAAAGAAGTAGCATAAAATGAATTTTGTAAGTGAAGTTACAGGCTGTAGGGTAAATGCAGAATAACCAATGATTATTTTAATGTATTCAAATAATGCAACAAGTGACTTTAAGCAGTGCCTGAGAGAGGTGCTAGTGAGGGACTGGCCGCTAATATTACAAACGTATTATAATGTTGTTTAATAAAAGATCTACGTGAAACCTACATTTATCAAGAATAACCAACTAAGATGTCCTAAATCAGGAGCCCTAATAAAACTCTAACCTATTGGCTAAACAATGAGGTTGAAGAAATTAGGAATAAATAATAGGGAAGTGTTGGTTCGGAGCAACTCATCTGAAGCCATCGCGTTATAAATCTAACAGTTTTTCTGAGTAAGAGCAACCTGGCATTTGATAGGATTTAAGTGAAAAGAATTATCTCAAGAGAGAATAAGATCACAGGTGGCAGCTGCTACACTGGTTTATCTTCAGACGTGCTGCTTCAAAGTGTTAGGAGTCTTTCGATAGGTTGATTAATTGCTTTCAATGTTAATTTCAATGTTCTTAATCAACCTAGACGTAATCCAACAATCAGAATTGCTAATTCAATTAAACCAATTCAATAATTTTTATTCAATTTTCATTTTCTTCTTTTTCGTAGTGTGATTTCTTTTTTTTTTGTTTGCTAATGTTTGCTATCCTATGCGCTTTCATTTGCCGCTTTTTTATCTATTTTTCTTTAAACATTCCAGTCTTTGCTTGTCTATATGTATATAAAATTTTTTCTCTCTGTGAGAGAGAAAGAGAGAAGACTAAAAAGATCATAATTGAAAAGTACTACCATTGAATGAATAAAAGAAACTAAGGTCTTCAGTGATATTCATTCTTTTTTTATGTTCTCATATTTCTTTAGGTTAATTTGTAACTTATAACAACATAAACTTGATTACCTTAAAATATTTCGCTTGTCTATGGGGTTTTCTGTGAATTGCTCATGCTCAAGACTAAATCAATGATTCTTTTGTTTTTTGCTCCTAAACACAGTTCATCGCATTCCTTTTTTTTTGTTTTATTATTATTACTAGTTTATATCTCTTAAAACCAAATAAAAAGACAGGGAGAAAAAAAAATTTTCTCTATTTATGTTAGGAATCATCCATAAAGAACATTCAGACACTATCTATGAATATTTTCTTTCACGCCATTTTGACGAAATTTTTAAGGTTAGTTTGTTTCAAAGAGCACTTTTTTACATAAGAAATTAACTGAATGAATTAATTGAATATGAATACGGTGATGAAATAATTCAAGATTATGCTACATCAGTAGATAATCATTTTCTGAAGCAGTTATTTGGCATTTTTGAGTGTCATTCGTATTGAATTTTAGTTTTAGTTTTTATTATTTTATGTTAATTATAAAAAATAATGAAAATTTCATTGAGAGTATTAAAATAGGTTCGACCGGGTCTGAGTCCAAAAAATTTAGAACAGACAGAGTTGTACTGAACGTTTAGAGAAGAAAGGTTTGTTAAAACTGGACAAATGTAGACAGAGGAGAGGTCAAAACATATGTTTTTTATCTGAACGTTTTTTATGGATGACTTCTGATGTATTCAATTAATGTTTTAGATCATATCTAGCAAGAATAATGGCAGCTACAAATGGTAACGATATTTAATAACATAATGCATTTGTATTCAGATACCAGACCAAAGATAATAGTTTTTTTGTGCAACTTGTAAAATTTTTATATAATTAAGGTGATTCAAACAAACTCCAAGTATTAGTGCCAGGTGGTATTGATTTTATTGGCAGCCATTGTGTTATTGAACTTATCAATACTGGATATGAATGTATTATAGTTGATAATCTATCGAATTCGTCAATAGATAAAAAAGAATATATTTGTTGAAAAACTTTAAAAAATTATATTTATTTTTTATTTTGTTTACAAAGAGTTGAACAAATTGTTGGATGTAAAATAACAAATTATAAAATTGATTGTCTTGATCTCGATAGTTTACGTGATGTATTTAAAAAACATTCGATTTATGCTATTATGAATTTTGCCGCATTGAAATCTGTTAGTGAATCTATTGAAAAACCTGTTTTTATATTATAAAAATAATGCTGGTTGTTTACTCAATTTACTAACAGTGTTATTCATTGTTTTTTTTTTATTAAAAATTGTTTATCGTGATTTACTTTGTTCTTCTGTAGTGTATAGAAGAATTTAATGTAAAAAAAATGTCTTTTTTCATCATCAGCTACTGTTTATAGATCATTCCAATATTTCTCACTTGATGAAAAATATCCATCTACTGAAGATGCTATTACAAATACATATGAAAAAAGTAAATATGTTTGTGAATATATTCTTAAAGGTACAGCAATTGCTCATCCTGATCGTATTTAAAATCTTTTGAGAAAAATTTTTATTTAGTTTGTTATGTTCTACGATTGGAATATTATTATGTTACCTTATTTTAATCCTGTTGGTAATCGTCAATCAGGTTTATTCGAACATTTTCAGAAGTATTTCTTAATTTTAAATATTTTCTTTTAGGTTTAATTGGTGAAGATCCTATTGTTAGACGAAATGATCTCATATCATACGTTGCTCAAGTAGCTGTTGATGGACTACCATACGTCAATGTTACGGGTACTGATTATGATATACACGATGGAACAGGTTATTGTAATGTTTTTTTGTTCTTCTTAAGTCATGAACGATGATTGAATTTATGTAGGTGTACGAGATTATATTCATGTTGTTGATTTGGCTACAGGTCATATTGCATGTGTGAAAAAATTTGAAGAAAATTGTGCTCTTCAAGTTTGTATGGAAAATTTCTTTCGATATTATTTATTTATTTTTCATGTTTAGATCTGTAGTCTTGGTACAGGTTAAGGTTATTCTGTGTTAGAAATGATCAAACCATTAGAAAAAGCATCGGATAAAACAATTGCTTATAAAAAATGTTCTCGACAACCACGTGACCTTACATTTGTATATGCTGATGCTAGTGTAGCTGCAAAAGAACTTGGATTCATAGAGTCATTTATCAATGAGGTTTAAATAGAGATCATGATATTAAAATTCGTACAGGGTGTCTCAAAAGTAAGGAAAATAATGGATATCCGATAATAACTGATGGAAAACAGTTAATGATATTTTTCGTATTTTTTATTGATGTAGAGAGCTGAAATTTTCAGAAATCAAAAGGTCTTAATTAGATATATATATACTAAAAGTTTCAGCTCTTTACATCAATAAAAAGTACGAAAAATATCATTAACAATTTTTCATCAGTTATTATCGGATACCCATAATTTTTCTTACTTTTGGGCCACCCTGTATAAGTTCGAAAAATGAAAAGACTTCATGGTACGAAAATGATTGCAGGACATACTCATGGCATCCTATCAGGGAAGATCTATCATATTTTGATTCAGAAGAATTAAGAAATTATGCTAAATCATTTGAAGATCGTGAATATCAAGCATTAATCGCAGTGGCTGGAAAAATGAACTGTCAATCATTTACTACCAAAATATTTGCAACAGCTGCTAATATAACACTTGAAAAGACACGAAGTATTATTCTTTTTCTCGTACCAAATCTTTTATTTTGATAATAATAAATCAAATAGAACACTGGCGACTATATTAATTAGTTCTCAATTGAATTTGGTATGATGAACAAACATCTTTTCTTTGTTTGTCTTTTTAAAACGATGTCAAAAAGCAAAAAAAAATCATCGTTTTTATAACTTCTCTACATTAATAGTTCTCATAGTAGAAGTATTTCTATTATAAGTCTAAAACTATTATAGAATTAAATATTATGTGAAATAAATAATGGGTTTTTAGGTATGGAGTATCTCATCAATTACTGAAAAAGACTTAGAATTTGTCTAAAATTCTGTGCATTTATGATTTTTAATAATAGCATTTATGCTCAATACGGAACGAGAGTCTCTAAACATCATGAATTGTGTTTTAAATATTTAAAAGTAGTGGTATAAATTTGAAAAATAAATTCATGTTAACATATGTATATTTCTTTTTCAGCAAACAAGAGTGTCAACAGATGAGAGTGACTGTTCAGTGTTACCTTCGTGTACAATTACGCAAATATACAATCATACCCTACCGTATAAAAATTGTCAATGTATGACTGTATATGAAGACGTATCGTTGTAAATTGTCTTGTACTAATAAAAATGGACTTACGATGGAAGGTCACCAAGTGTTCAATCGTTTTTGCGTTGAAACTGCTTGCATTATGTAGCTCCTAAGGAGTTATGAATACGCTGAAAATATTTTGGGCGGGTAGCTTATTGTTACGAAAATAGGGCATTTTTATGGTATTTTTTAAAGATTGCCGTACCCCCTCTCCTCAGGGACATTTGAAGATCGATTTTTGAATTTTGACTTGAGATTTTATATAGTAATACATCTCAAAGAGAATAGTGTTTTGTGAACGTTTTTGGTCATTGAATTTGTTTGTTTCATTAAATCTACCACTTTATTTGAAAGATGTACAAAGAAAACTTAGCAATACCTGTATCTAGCGATAGGAATAGTAGAAAGGTCTGAAACGTTGACAAACAGTTGTTCTCATTACGACGTCTTTCTATGGAAAGTTTCACGTCAAAATTCGAAAATCAATTTTTTTAATGTCCCTGAGGGGGACTCCAGGCACTTAATAAAATCTATACCTTAGAAATGGTCTATTGTCGTAACAATAAGATATCCGCCCAAAATATTTTCAGTATATTCATAACTCCTTGGGAGCTACGTAAAACAAACAGCTTCAACGCAAAAGCGATTGAACACTTGGTGACCTTCCCTCGTTAGTAAACAAGAAGTTGAAAAGTGCCGTTTAAGCATGTTGTAGTAGAGTTGTTAGCCACGGATTTGAATTAAACACATGTTGATCATTCCTTCAAGAAGAAGGCATTCTACCAGTAGGAAAGGAAGCTTTTTATTATAGGGAATAGGAATTATTGTTGTTTTATATATAGATTTTGGGTTATTTTAGTTTTCTGTTTCTTTTTTTTTGAGTTCAGCATTTTTTCAAAAAGATAAATAACAAGACAAAGATACAATATTGCTCTAGAAGAACATGTATTTTTTTTGGTTTTCTGGAGTTTTTCTCTTATTTTTGAACATTATTTGAGATTTTTTCATACAATGCTATAAAATCGTGAAACGAAAGCCAGAGAATAGTTTTTTTCAGAAAAGAGAAGGAAAGAGCTTTTTAAATATGATAATGCTAAGGAAAAAAAAATATTTTTCCATGGTTTCACTTCGACGCTTTAAAGTGACAATGATCTAGCATAATGGATTTTCAATGGATTAAGAAAAAAATCGAATGTTACCGCATAGTTGATCAAGTGATGATGCTTAAGATTTGATTTTTTGCGCATTAACAAGTATAACATTAATATAGTTTAGCACTCTAAGTTGCATCTCGTACAAAATCATGTGTATTGTGTATAATACCTTTTTTTGTCAAAACACCCTTCCGTTCCAATCGTTTTATGGTTCTACCAATATCATCTACTGCTCCACGACTGTGCCCACTTGAGAAGTAGCTTCAAATCAAATTGGCATTATAATCATTCGACAAAAATGTCCAATTTGCAAATGAAAGTCTTTGCTTAAATTGTGTTTCTGTACTATCAGAAAAACTATTCATTGTGTTCAATGAAGAAAGCCTTTTTTTAAAGGCCTGTAATAATCTTTGTTAAACAGACATGGATTGAATATTTATAAGAAGGTACATCGTCGGAAGCCAATGTGTAACGTAGAATTTTAGAATTTGGTCCATACCATGCCACTGCAGTCAAAAGATCAACTTGATTATAATTGAAAAAAGCATTTTGAAATTCATCTCGATATGTTGTACAATAATTTTCCGAGAGAACAACTTGAAAAACAAATGATATTGGACTTGCATGCTACTTACACTCTTGAAAATGTTTGTATCAAACATAAGTAATGAAGCTGTGCACCAGGAAATTTCGTTCGAGTCTATAAATTACCTATGGTATCTTGAACTGTACCAGATTTTTCCATTTTGAAGATTCTTGAATCAACTGTTTTCCATTGAAATTAAGATCATTGTTCTCTATTATTATCATCATCACATTGAAAAAATTTATCGAAATTTATTAAATTTCCACAATCTTTTGCGCTTCGATGATATGCATTTTTTATCAGTAGGGTGACAAACCAAAGCTTCACCGTACAGTGTTATGGTTTTCGGCGTCTTTAACATTGGTCTTAATGTTGATAATAAAAGATCATTATTTGTATGATAATTCCAAAAGACAAGCATTTTTGGGATTATCAGCCATAGGTTTAGCGTACGTGGGACGTAACAAAATAATTGAACTAGAACCAATTTTTTTCATTTGAATACATCAATTTAAATTGTTCGTAAACTTCTCTAACTGCCATGGCAAGATATAGTTTTTGATGTTTGACTTTTGAGCCATCAATAGTTTTGAAGGTGATCACACTTTTCTTACTAGCAACAATACTGCTAATTTCATCTAATTTCTAAAATGGCACAACGTCCTTTTTGTATCATCACAAAAGATGATTTAATTTTGATGATACCAAAAGTTTTGCAATTATTCCATGTTTCATTGCTAAATGCCGAATAACTTCGTCTTTTTTTGTTGAACTTCCTGGAAGACCTCTTTTTGCATGGTGAACAGTCTTTGCTAAACGTTGAGCATACTTGCGCATGACCTTTGCCATTGTTAAAGCCGATAGATGGTTGGTTTACTGGTGAACCAAGTTTTTCAGAAGCCACTTTTAATTGATCTTTGATTTATCGTGAGCGACTTTGTTCAGGAATTTTTACAATTTCGATTGGATCTTGTTTGAGCAACTGGCGACTCTTATGTTTGCGAGTACCATCTTTTTCTTTGGATTCTTCTAACAATGACTCATTTTCTTCATCTTTCAATTTACCCATGAATTCGCAAAACCATTTGGCGTATGATAAAGGCATTTTTATTAACGATCAATACGACAAACGAGCATGTTGCATTTAGAAGATGTGATTTTACGTGACTGAGTACAATTAATATTGATCGTGAAAACTCATTAGAGGCGTGATTCAATTTTGACTCTCATATACTTTCCAGAAACCGAATTGAAAGAAAAACAAATATATGATATAGCCATATACTTAGCGAGTGAAAGTGTGTGTATAAACAAAGGTTGAAACTCGGCGAATGGTTACTTTAAAAGAAAAAAGAATATATTTAAAATTTCGTTAGGGACGTGACAAAGAAAATGAGTGGATCTTAGACTGAGTGATATTCTAAAACACTAAATATTTTTTTTTCTTTTGCATAATCAGAAAGATCATTGAGGGAACTCTATATTCATGGAAAAAAATTAGTCTTTTACTGTATACTAGAACGACTGTGGTATCTCAACGTAGAAACACATCAGTTTTCGTAAGGTAACAATATTTTCAAAGAATGAATTCATTTTCCAGTATTTATAGCTAAGACAACGAGAAACAAATGTTATCTTCATATACTAGAAATTGCAGGTTATAATTATATTGTCCTTTTGCAGTTCAGCTGTAAGTTTCGAAAAACAACATATTTGCACCATTTTGTCCGAAATGGCTCATATATATATATATAAATGTGTCATCCAGCATGCAGAAGAACCTTGACTCATTTCTTTGCAAAATTATAAATATATTCCTATTATCCAAAAGGAAAATCAAGATAACCTTGAATTTAGGGAAAACTTGCTACTTTAGCTACTGATGGCATGATATTCAAAATAAACAATGTTTTCTAGTACTTTCTCAACATTGAACAGTATATTTGAGGCTTGAGTTTTTTCTGAAGCTCTTATCTCCAATATCAAAATGTTCTGCACCTGAAGAATTCTAAAATATGTTGAATCTATTATAAAGATTTCGTTTTATTGACCTCAGCATGAAGTGCATTACGTGATTTGCAGGAACACATATTTTTAGTATCTATAAGTGAATAGATACAGATTTGACAAACTTGATAACACTTACTCCTTATATATCCATCTTACAATACTTTTCTCCTCTAACATTTTCTTTGAAGATTTGAGGAGCATCTCCAAGGAGTTCTCAACATTTCCAAAAAGTCAAATACTCTTGTTTTTAATTATTATAAGTTTCTCATTTCTAGGAACTGATTCACGATAATCTGTCGAAAATTCCTGATGTTCCTTCTGTCTCAATCCCTCCTATTATTTCGGACTTCATGCCAACACAAGTACTCAAGTGCGAAAGACTTTATTGATATTGCTTGTGAGATACTTTTGATTTATTTAGTAGTCCACCAAAGCCTCCGAAATCAAATCGAATACATTCTGCGCCATCTCCACATCAAAATGTCGAAAAAACTCCCTCCCATCTCAATGATTTTAATGCTCGATTGAAGAAACTTGAAAAAGATATCAAGGATCACATACAATCGCATGTGGATTCCAATGCGATTCAAAGCCTAGAACAGCGGGTACTGACGCTCGAAACTACTCGGCATCCCGTTCAACCGATCCAATCAGTAACATCTTTGGATGCAAAAACTTATGATGAGGATTTAAATATTATACGTGATAATCAGGAAAAATTTGGTAGTTCTCTCGAAGGATTAAAAACAGCAATGCAAAAGCTAGAAGATAGATTTAATGTATATGACACTGAAAATGTTCGCCTCGACAATAAGATTGACGAGCAACGACAAGATCTCGAACACCTGATTAATCAATATAGAAGTGAGGCCGACAAAAAGATCGCATTGCTGAGTGAAGAAGTCATCGGCAAAATCAATGAATTGCAACGCCTAGTGGATATGCAATTGAAGAGTTTGAAAAAGGAAATAAAAACGTTAAGGCGCAAAATAAACAAATTGGAAAGAGATATTGAAATACTCAGACCACAAGAGATCAAGAAAGATCATTTGCCTTTTCTGGAAAGAATGATGCCAAAAGACTTGTTCGAGATAGACTGGAAAGAATATCAAATAACAGCAACGAAAACACCAGTGAAGCAGTAGTGTTTATTCTTCTTATTTATTCATCAACATGAATTATTTCCATAAAAAAGGGATTGAACTCTAGATAAGAATGTGAAAACCAAAAAAATACGAGTGTTGTTATTAGTTGCTTAGAGCTTGCAGACTTGATTCAATGAAAAATATACTTTCAAACGAAGCGATTGAACACTTCTTTCTCGTATTGAAGCGCTCAAATGACTTATGAGACTGCTCAAAAGTTCAATTATTCAAACGCACCATGTACAGGGTGCGTAAAAATGTTTTTCCAGGGAGGTAACACGATAATTTCAAATAGCATACATAACTAATTTTATACCAAATTAAAGCGCGTCAAAAATGGGATTTTTTTATATTAAATTGTACGAGTTATCAAAACTTTTTGATATCGAACTTAAGAAATTTTATGTTTTTTTTGGATAGAAAACTAAGGCGTCAGNTAAAATTGGCATGAATGATTTTGATTCGTTAACAGTACGAAAATTCTTTTATATCCAGTGTTAAAGTGAAAGAATTTCACTGAAAGCTCGAATAAAAAAAATAACCATTGAATTTTGTTAAAAATTCTCATATACTTCGTAGCAGTCATTTACTTATTTCTCTCTTCTTTTATATCTACTGCCCTACCTAATGGATTTATTATCGAATTGATTATTTATACTGAGTAGTCATTACGATTGTGAAAAAAAAATAAACGGCGATACGTATCTATTTACTATTATCTGATAAGACTTCAATAAAGGAATCATCAAAGAATGAACAAATTAAACTTACGAATATAGTGTTGTGTTGGTTGTTTTATATGTATTCAAAACCTGTGCAATTGGAAAACTCAGATTCTTGCCAACAGACTCGTAATCAGTAAAGACTTTTATAGAAATAGCAAATAAAAATATCTGATTTACAGATCTTAAATCATGTCAAAATAATAAACGTGAAAATATATTGCATAAAAACTGACCGGGACCACTTTGCAGTTCCCTAATTAGTATTCAGATATGAAACCAAAGATAGTAGTTTTTTTTTGCAATTTGTGAAATGTTTATATAATTAAGGTGATACAAACAAACTTCAAGTGTTAGTACCAGGTGGTATTGGTTTTATTAGCAACCATTGTATTATTGAATTTATCAATGCTGGATATGAACCTATTCTAGTTGATAACCTATCGAATTTCTGAATAAGTAAAATAGAACATATTTTGTGAAAAAAGTTTAAAAAATTCTATTGTTTTTTTTTTGTAGTTTGTTTACAACAAATTGAACAAATTGTTGGATGTAAAATAACAAATTATAAAATTAATTGTCTTGATTTCTAAAGTTTACATGATGTATTTAAAAAACATGCGATTTATGCTATTATGAATTTTGCTACATTAAAATCTGTTGGTGAATCTATTGAAAAACCTGTTTTATATTATAAAATAATCTTGATTATTTACTCAATTTACTAACAGTATTATTCATTGTTTTTAAAAAAAAACTATTCAACATAATTTACTTAGTTTGCTCTTTTGTAGTGTATGGAAGAATTTAATGTAAAAAATTTTCTTTTTTCATCATCAGCTACTGTTTATGGTTCGCCAAAATATTTGCCACTTGATGAAAAACATCCATGTACTGGAGATGCTATTACAAATCCATACGGAAAAAGTAAATATGCTTGTGAACATATTCTTAAAGATACAGCAATTGCTTATCTTTTTCGTATTTAAAATCTTTTGAGAACAATTTTTATTAATTGTGTTATGTTTTAGTATTGGAATATTATTATTTGACGTTATTTTAACCGTGTTAGTGCTCCTGAATCAGGTTTATTCGAATATTTGAAGAAATATTTCTTAATTTTAAATATTTTCTTTTAGATTTAATTGGTGAAGATCCTATTGGTAGACCAAATAATATCATGCCATATGTTACTCAAGTAGCTGCTGTTGGTCGATTACCACATGTGAATGTTACGGATACTGATTATGATACATCCGATAGAACAGGTAATTGTGACGTTTTTTTTTGTTTTTCTTAAATCATGAACAATGATTGAATTTATGTAGGTGTACGAGATTATATACATGTAGTTCATTTTGCTACTGGTCATATTACATGTATGAAAAAATTTAAAGAAAATTGTGGTCTTCAAGTATCTATGCAAAATTTCTTTCGATATTATTTATTTATTCATTTATTTTTCATGTTTAGATCTATAATCTTGGTATAGGTAAAGGTTGTTCTATATTAGAAATGATCAAAATATTAGAAAAAGTATCGGGTAAAACAATTGCTTATAAAGAATGTCCTCGATGACCAGATGATTTTGCATCTGCTTATGCTGATCCTACTGTAGCTGCAAAAGAACTCGGATGGAAAGCTCAACGAGGTTTAGATAATATGTGTAAGTAGAAAATTTTATTAGAATTGATTATTAATTATAGATAAATATAGGACGAGATTTATGGCGATGATAATCGAACAATCCAAATGAATTTCAATAGAATCTCATTGATTTTTATTTTAAACCGATTGAGAATATTTTTGTTTTACTACTTGGGCAATTATCCATTTATCTTATGCTTTCCACTATTTTATTTATTGATATTGGTAATATTTAAAAATCGACTCAATGGTTTCATTTTTGTTTTTGTTTTTGTTTTTATTGAAAAGTTAAATATTATCATAACATGTTATTATTTGTTTTTGACTATACATATACGACTATAACAATTAAAAATAAAATTAGTATTAAAAAAAAAAGTGAAAATGTAATGAAAGAAGATTAACCCAGAGAAATAGATTCGAACCTCTTATTCAAACTAATGAAAAACAGCTTTTAATTATTTATGCTTCATCGTAATTCGATGAGATACTACAACAGATTTTGTATGATTGGATAAAATATGTCATGAGACATTGTATCAAATTATTGATTTTTTATAATCTATGGAATTCGATGTCAAATACGAATAGGAAGATGAACATAGCATATCACGTCACTAAAATGATGTTTGTTTTTAACGCTATAGAATTATTCTACGATGAAAACTACATAGAAATGTAGCTACTATTCATCAATTCACATAAATAGAAATATGAATAGTTACTATTAAATATTTTGAAGATAGCCAAAAGTGATGATCATCTAAAATTACGATTTTATATCTTGTTTTTATAGTATTCTCAAAATAGCGAGATTATATATAACGGGCGGATGTGGATTTCATCTTCACTCATATGGACACCCATTCAAACAGCGAGTATGCATTGCGATTTACATCCTAGAGATAAAGCATTGGGCAGTGAAATTTTCTGCGACATCTAGTAGAAACTATATATACAAAATATGAATCATGCATCTTATTTGTAACTTTCAGTTCATTCGAATAAATACTTAGTGAAACCACCTGATAATATCCTTAAGCAAGGAAAAAACTCTTCATGGTTTGCTTGATACATCCACACTCACACCCATAAATAAGGCGATTTTTCTCGATACACAAAATAGAACTAATATGATGTATTTGATTCATTTTATTTGAGTCATGTATGTTAATATTTTGTGCAACTTGATAAGAGTGTCTAGCAATATGGAAATACCAGGTATTGTGATAGCTATAAAAACATTCACAACTATTCTCGTTGCTTGAAAGTATTCGTTTTTGTTGATTGATTTGTTTTCAAAGCTTTCTAATGCGCGATTTTTTCAGACAAATTGCAACTGCTTGAAAAAAAAGAGATCTGAACCATTGATATGTGTTCTTTGCATTAATGCTTGAATACACTTTTCTTTCAATCACAGTATATTGTCGCTCATGGATAACATGAATTCGTCACTAATGAAGCATTCAGAAGAACCCAAAACTAGACTGCTTGGGGATGAATACTTGCTATCATTGATACATGAAAAAACTTTTTGGTACAATTGTTGTGTGAAATTGTGCGTATGAGTATTTTTTCGGCTGACTCATTCTTCCAATGATGTATGATAAGGCTGTTGGTGTGGGTATGAAGTTGGATGACATGGTACAGAAGACGGTAGCTTACACCCATGTCTAGCACAAAGAAGAAGGGCAAGAAAAAGCATGATGGTTCAAGATCCATTCTTCCCAAGGGGGAAACAGCTGACTTCATGACTTAAATGATCTAAATGACTTTAAAGTCGTAAAAGTCAGTTGTTTCCTTCTTGGGTTCTGCTCATGTTCACTGTGGCTTTCGAGTTTCCGTTAGGCTAAGGAAACAGGGAAATAATTTTCAATGACCTAGCTGTTATCGACATTCATAAACACGAAGATCTTCAATGCTTAAAATTGAAATTGCAACGCAATCTGGTCCATTATTATACGCATGATATTTTTGAAACTCAAAGTTTGTCGTCATGACAATTGACGAGTATGAAAAATAATCAGACATTATTGTTTTTCTGATTCTAATTCGTTCATTCACCCTAAAGGCGTGTCATCCTCATAGAATTGTATATATTCAAAGAAACTCTGCGAAAAACTCATATATTCTACAGACACCGAGTGGCATCAATATAATTGACATATAAGGAATCAAATCCAAGTACGGGACGCTGTTCGGTCTAATATTTTAGCTAAATGGGAACCCAGTGAGCCTAAGAAAGTCCTAGTAAGATTCGCNTATATTGTCAGTACCATAATTAGCTACGACAATATCTGGCAGGCCATCGTTATTCAGATCCTCAATAGCAACTGAATGTGGCTGTGATCCCAAACCCATACTTTATGATGTTATGCCAGCATAAAGTTCTGTGCCATATGCGAGAAAGATGCCTATATCGTTTGACTGTGCATTTGCGACGGCGATATCTAACTGAGAGTCATTGTCAAAATCGCCAATAGCTAATGCATATGGTCCAGATCCTACACCAGTTCGATATGCAGTTCCTAGTAAGAAACTTCCATCTCCAAAGCCAAAAAGTACAACAATATTGTTAGTTCCAGAATTAGCGATAGCAATATCTAATATGCCATCATTATTAAAATCATGAGCTTCAACAAATTCTGGAGCAGAACCATCTCCAGTGGAAAATGTCATGACAGAAACAAAAGTACCATTTCCATGTCCAAGAAAAATACTGACATCATTCATATTAAAATTACCAGTAGCAATATCAAGTTGATTGTCTCTATTGAAATCTCCAACAGTTATTGAATATGGCCAAGATTGATAACCCGTTGAATAGCTCACTTGAGCTGTAAAATTTCCATTTTGATAACCTAAAAAAATACTGATACTGCTAGTACGATAATTAGCTACGGCGATATCTATTTGACCGTCATTATCAAAATCACCTATAGCAAGCGACTGTGGCTTGGCATTATTTCCAGTCGAATAAGTAATTATGGTATCGAAAGTCAAATTGTCATGTCCAAGTAGAATACCTATATTATTAGCAACAGAGTTGGCCACGACAATATCTATTTGACCATCATTGTTTATATCGGTTAAGACGATCATAACCGGATTAGAATTATATCCAGTTGAATATCTTCTGCTGATAGTGAAACTTCCATTACCATATCCAACAAGTATACCTATGTCATTAGTGCCTGAATTAACGACAACAATGTCCAATCGTCCATCATTGTTAAAATCATGAATAGCCAAGGAAACAGGTCGTGAACCATTTCCAGTCGAATAAGTCATCATAACACCAAAATTTCCGTTACCATATCCAAGAAGAATACCAATGTTATCACTCGAAGAAAAAGTAACTGCAATATCTAGATATTTATCATTATTGAAGTCACTAGTAATGATACCCAGTGGTGTTCGAGTATTATCACTGGAATAAGTCTTATGACTTTGAAATGCTGTATAATCAAATCCAATAAGTATACCTATACTATCTGTACCTGCATTAGCAATGATTAAATCCGCTCGATTGTCATTATTGAGATCACTAATAGCTATTGCCAACGGATATGAATCTTCTCCAGTTGAATATACCTTTGGAATATCAAAAGTTCCATTACCATATCCCATAATTAAACTAATACTATTACTCTTTGAATTAACAGTAACTATATCTAAATGATTATCTTTATTGATATCATCAGCAATAACATATTGTGGATATGAATCAGCACCAATATGATATGTTATTTGTCTTTCGAATGTACCATTACCCGTATTGAAAAGTATATCTAAATTATCACTTCCTGAATTGACGATGGCTATGTCTACATAATTATCATCATTGAAATTACCAACAGTGACAGAATAAGATTGTGGAGCTAAACCAGTTGAATATCTTTTTTGATTTGCAAATTCTGCAGCAGCATATTCAGTTAAAATACCAACATTTCCAATACCCCATAGAGTAACAATGATATTTATTTGATTGCTGTTCTTCAGCTTGGCAGTGGTGATGTCATACGGCTTCGAACCAAAACCAGTAGAATATGTCCTTGCAAGTTGGAAACTGCCATTTCCATATCCATAAAAGATAATTACTTTGTTATTTGCGATATCGGTCACGGCGAAATCATATAGATAATCATTGTTGAAATCAGCAATAGCGATGCGAAAAGTGGACGAAGTAGAACCAGTTGAATATTTTGTGATTTCTTGAAAAGATCCGTTACCATATCCGAGAAGAATACCTACTAAACCTCCATTGAAAGTAGTAACAATAAGATCCAGATGATTATCATTATTCAAATCAAAGAGACTGAGACCATTTGGAGAAGAAGAACTACCAACAGAATACGTCGTTGCATTCGAAAAAGTTCCATCACCAAGTCCTAGAAGGATACCCACATTGCCAGACGTGTAATCAGTAATGGCAATATCCAATTGTTTATCATTATTGACATCGCCAACACCAATTAATACCGGCCGAACAATAATATTAGCAGAGTATGTCATCGCCTTACCAAAAGTTCCATTACCATGTCCAAGAAGAACACCTAAGCCACCAGATCCATAATTTGCAGTGACAATATCTAATCGATTATCATTATTGAAATCTCCAACATTGACTGACCACGGTGTAGAACCATCACTCACAAAGTAAGTTGTCACATTAGAAAAAATTCCATTGCCTTGTGCAAGAAGAATACCTACACTATCAGAACCATAATTAGCTGTGACAATATCCATTCGATTGTCATTGTTAAAATCACCAATACAAATATGTTTTGGAGCTGATTTATCTCCAGTCGAATACGTTGTTGTTCGCTTAAAAGTTCCATCATCATTACCAGTTAGTAAAAGTAAACTATTATCATTAAAATCATTAACTAATAAATCTAATCGATCATCATTGTTAAAATCATAAATAACAATCGAAGATGAACGGGAATCTTTTTCAACAAGATAATTCATTTGTCTTACTGATGGTTTTATAAAATATTGACTAAAATGGAATTCATATAGGAAATCCGTTGAAAAATTGCTTATTTGGACCCCTCCCTCATCTTTACCCAAGACTAGTTCACTTTTCAGCAATCATTTTTCTCCGATGAATATCCAGTGTTAAAATCGTTTTTTTTTTGAGAAAGTCTTTTATTGTTCAATAGCATAAACCTTTTTTTGTTCCATTAAAACTACAATTTATTCATTAAGTGTATGACAAGAAGAAATGAAATAAGTGTCTATATTAAACATAATGTTTAATCTTAATAGTTTCAATCAGATCTTGCCACAGTTTGACACAATCCATTTTTACAAGATTTCGATACTTTCGAACAATCAAAATTTAGTACAAAGTCACTTGTGAAATTATTTCTGGTTTTCTCCAATTCGACAGTTTTTTTTTGAAAGTGTCTAATAGGATTCAAGATTCGGATCCTTCGCTATGAGTATATATAAGACACGAAATCAAAACATATAATTCATACATTTATGAATGAGACATCATAAAATTCCACTATGAAATACTTTAAAACCGTTGTTAAAACTCACTTAATGTTAAAGCTTCTCAAAATTTTGTGGAAAAAGTGAAACAAATCGTAGTAAGTATATGAATATCCAGATATTCTCGTTAGGTCGAACTTGTCCTATTTTGACAAACCCCTCCCTCCTCTCATTTTTCCAGATGTTCTTTATCAATGGTCCTAAAGTATAAGTACATTATTAGTACCATAGGTGGCTATAACAATATCTGATTGATTGTCTTTATTAAAATCTGCTACAGCAACAAAGACTGGACGAGATTCATTTATTCCATCATACGTTGTTGTAACAAATGTTCTATTATCATATTGCAGAAGAATATGTACTTGATCGTTTTCTNTAACTAAACAAAGTTTATTTTCTTCAGATATTGGTATTTAATTGACAAAAGAAACATTATGTTTTCATCAACAATCACAAACAAAGGCAATAACATAAAATTCACTTTGTCAATTAAATACCAATATCTGAAGAAAATAAACTTTGTTTAGTTATGGATTTGGATCTAGATCTAGGTTTAGTTGTCTCTTTGTTTGCACCGATATCCATACCTACACCCTATATACCATGTGATTCTGCAGTAACAACTGACTTTTTTTTTCTAAGCATTGCATTAAATGCAAAGCACAACTGAAATTAACTAAACATAATGCAGAACAATTTAAAGAAGAACTCATCAATGATAACCATAATGATGATGTGAACGATGAAGATAAGATTTTAGTCGATGGATGATAGAAGAAAAAATTGATTTTAATATTGTTATTTTATAGCTTTTGGAATGTCAAAATAATAAAGAACTAAGAAAGAATAGAAATATAATAGTGTCACGATATAATACATTGTCTCTATTTGCACGAAAAAGCCTTCCGATGAAAAAAACAAAAACAAAGAATAAGGTCTATCATTGGAGAAAACAAACCTTGTTCGAATGATGCTAGATGAAGATTTATAATTGACGTAGATATGTGTGGCAGTATAGATTGTTCTTCGCGTTAGTTCTCCAAAAACGAAGCGAGTGAATTCCGAACGATTTTCTGAAACATCGGTCTTTCAATATTTTTCGAAACAGGCTTTCACTTGAAGAAGATGTGTTAAAACATAATTGCACTTTCGCGAAAACTACAGAACTCTGTCTATTTCCTGTTAGGATTTATTCAGAAAATCACCATTGACATTGTATTTTGAAATACTTAGTAGTAATTAATAATATAATTACTTCAAAGAATCTAAATACTAATCTATATTATATGAAAAGAGAAACACATGATTACAAGACGTTAGTTCGTAAACGAATATAATGATTGTTTACAATGACATCTTTAAAAATCAGAGTCAGAATATAGTTATTTCTTGTTCTGCAAGATAATATCGACACTTACTATGTTATGTCAAGATCGTCGTCAGAACATGTATATTTTTATAGAATGAGTAGTCTCATATGAATAAAAAAAAAACAAGAATAATAGCTCATTCTACGAAAAAAAAAATTTAGTTAGTTAATAGAAATAAAAAGAGAAAACGAAAAAGCATATGAAATGATAGTAACACTAACAAATTTTTATTAGAGTTTCTGCATGATCTGTGCCAACACACGCAATAACAATGTCCATCCAACTGTCTTTATTTAAATCTTTGATTGCAATAGAATACGGACGATATCCATAGTCTAGAGCATACAAAGTTTTGTTTCCGAAAAGTCCATTTCCATATCCATAAAGTAGAAAGATATTATTAGTGCCAGAATTTGCAATGGCAATATCTAATATATTATCATTATTGAAATCACCTACGGCAACTGCACATGGTCGAGAACGAGCTCCAGTTAAATATGTCGGTCCAATTGCAAACGTTCCATTGCCATAACCGAACAGAATAACAATATTGTCAGTTTCAGAATTCGTAACAACAATATCCGATTGATTGTCATTATTAAAATCAGCTACAGAAACAGAATATGGAGCAGAACCAACTCCGGTTGAATATGTTGCTATAGTATCAAAAACTCCATGACTGCGTCCAAGCAAAATAGATATATTGTGAGTACCATAATTCGCTACAACAATATCTGATCGACCATCGTTATTCAGATCCCCAATAGCGACTGAGTATGGTTGTGATCCAAAACCCATATTATACGATGTTACACCAGCATAAAATTCCCTGCCATATCCAAGCAAGATTCTTATATAGCTTGATTTTTCATTAACGACAGCAATATCTAGCCGGAAATCATTGTTGAAATCGCCAATAGCTAACGCACATGGTGCGGATCCTCGACCAGCTCGGTATGCATTTCCTAGTAAAAAACTCCCATCTCCAAATCCAAATAGCACAACAATATCGCTAGTTCCATAATTAGCAACAGCAATATCTAATATGCCATCATCATTAAAATCACGAGCTTCAACAAATAGTGGAGAAGAACCATCTCCAGTGGAAAATGTCGTGACGGGATGAAAACTACCATTTCCACATCCAAGAAGAATACCGACATTATTCATATTAAAATTACTAGTAGCGATATCAAGTCGTTTATCTCTATTGAAATCTCCAACAGTTATCCAAGATGGCCAGGATCGATAACCTGTTAAATAAGTCAGTTGAGTTGTAAAACTTCCATTTTTATAACCTAAAAAAATACTGATACTGTCAGCATGATACTTAGTTACGGCAATATCCATTTGACCATCATTGTCAAAATCACCAATAGCAACAGATTGTGGATGCAAATCATTTCCAGTTGGACAAGTAATTATGGTATCGAAAGTCAAATTACCATGTCCAAGTAGAATACCTATATTTTTAGTAGCAGAATTGGCCACGATAATATCTATTCGACCATCATTATTTATATCGGTTAAGACAATCGCAACTGGATTAGAATTCTTTCCAGTTGAATATTTGATAATGGTAGCGAAACTTCCATTACCATATCCAAGAAGGATACCTATGTCATTAGTGCCTAAATTAACTACAACAATATCCATTTGTCCATCATTGTTAAAATCATGAACAGTCAATGATTCAGGTCGTGAGCCATTTCCAATCGAATAAGTCATCATAACACTAAAACTTCCATTACCATATCCAAGTAGAATACCTATGTTATCACTCAAATGAAAAGCAATGGCAATATCTTGATATTTATCATTGTTAAAATCACTAGTAATGATATTATGTGGTCTTCTAGTATTCTGACTGGAATAAATCTTTTGACTTTGAAATGTTGCATAATGAAATCCAAGAAGTATACCTATACTATCTGTACCTGGATCAGCAATGATTAAATCTGATCGATTGTCGTTATTGAAATCATTGATAGCTACTGCCAACGGATATGAATCTTCCCCACTTGAATATACACGTGGGATATCAAAAGTTCCATTACCATGTCCCATAAATACACTAATACTACTACCCTTTGAATTAACAGTAACTATATCTAAATGATTATCTTTGTTAATATCACCAGCGAGAACATATTGCGGATATAAATCAGTACCAATAGGATAGGTTATTTGCGTTGGAAATGTACCATTACCTGAATTGAAGAGTACATCTAAATTATCACTTCCTGAATTGACGATGGCTATGTCTACGTAACTATCATTATTGAAGTTACCAACAGTTACAGAATACGGTTGTGGAGCCGAACCAGTTGAACATGTTTTATTATTTGCAAATTCTGCAGCAGTATATTCAGTTAAAACAGCTACTTTTCCCTTGCCCCAAAGAGTAACAACAATATTTATCTGATTGCTGTTCTTCAACTTGACAGTGGTAACGGCATATGGACTAGAACCAAATCCAGTAGAATACCTCCTTCCAAGTTGGAAACTACCATTACCATATCCATAATAGATAACTATTTCGTCATTTGCAATATCGGTCACAATGAAATCATGTTGATGATCATTGTTGAAATCAGCAATAGCAATGTGGTAAATGGATGACCTAGAATTAGGCGAATATTTTGTCATTTTTTGGAAAGTTCCATTTCCATATCCAAGAAGAATACCAACGAAACTGTCATCTAAAGTAGAGACAATAACATCCAGATAAGTATCATTATTCAAATCAACAAGACAGACGGCATTTGGAGCAGAATATCTATCAAGAGAACTTGTCATTGCATCAAGAAAAGTCCCATTACCATGTCCAAGAAGAACCACTACATTGTCAGAGCTAGCATCAGTGACGACAACATCTAACTTTTTATCATTATTGAGATCGCCAACAGCAACTAATATCGGCAGAACAATAATATTAGCATAATATGTCGTCGCATTAGCAAAAGTTCCATTACCATGTCCAAGAAGAATACCTAAACCTCTAGATCCATGATTTGCAGTGACAACATCTAAATGACTATCATCATTGAAATCTCCAACAGCGACTGACCACGGGTTAGAACCATAGCCCACAAA